AGCTGGGCTTGAGGAGCGAGCCACAGCATGGAAAATCTACGATGTTATCAATTGGAAGCAAATTATTTTAAAACAGCTGCCCCTCTGCAACTGCTGGGAAAGCGTAGGGAGTCTCCCCAGCGGGCGAAGCAGGAAAGAGCCGGCGCTGGGTTCACCAGCCTAAGCAGCCGCGGTGTCCCTGCACTGCGGGGGGCAGGGGCCCGAGCTCGGGTTTGCCCATCCCCAGGGCAGGGGTCGGCCGCTGGTGACCCCCCGCCCCCCAAAGTGTTTGCAGGGGTGAGCCTGATTGGAACAGGAAGGCTGCGAGGGGTTCTGTCTTTTGGTGCCTCACAGACTGTCTCTGATGTGATCCAGGAGGTCCACGTGCGTCCAGAATCTCCTCTGAGCAGAAAAGGCTGTGGGTTCTGCCCTCCGTGACATCATAATTTTGCTAAGCGACTGCAAAATGCTGCAGGTCACAGGTTCACGGAATGCCCGAGCTGGAAGGGGCTTCAGTAGGTCAACCCCCCCTTGACTCCCCGGGGTGCCACAGAAGCTTGTTCCAGAGACACCCTGGGTCCCGGGTGTCCTGCTGTCTAACCAGCATCCTCAAAGTTGCAGCAGCTGGCTGGCTGTGCACCACGGGGCACCAGCATACATGGAACCTGGGCTTGGATGTGCCCCATGTGAGTCAGAGGTGGCGGCACTGAGGGAGGGGCTGAGCCAGATGCTGCAGGTGGAAGGGGCCAGAATGCTTGGCGGGGTCAGGGGGACACACTCCAGGCTCCTCCTGGCAGGTCCCAGGTGGAGAGGAGGCCTGCTTTCGGCTGTGTCTCCCTCAGCATCCTGAGCACAGCAGGACTGCAGCCAGGGAGACTCTGTGGCAAGAGGAGACGGCGTCAGGGGGACGAAAGGAAACCTAAGGAGGACAGACCATGAGGTGTCCTTCACGGCGTGATGGGAGCGGTGAATCAGAGAACTTGGGAGGGTTGGGGCCTGGGGACGTGCAGCCTCGGAGCCCCTGTCCCGGGCCGGGAGCTGAATGCAGCCGGGTCACCATTAAGGGGCCGCGCAGCGGGGAGCCTGACGGTCGTGCTGCACACACCCAGGTGGGTCTCCTGCAGACGCGGGGAGGGCCCCGCCCCTGGAGCCATAGCACCTGTGCTTGCCAACAGAGCAGTGCAGCTCCACTGGAGACGGGCCTGGTCTGGGGCCGTGCAGGGCGGTGGCCTCCTTCCAGCTCAGCCTCCTCCCCCTTCAGCACAAGACAGGAAGGGGAGCGGGGTGGAGGGGACGCGGCGAGGCGTGTTGAACACCTGCCATATCCAGCCAGGGCCCCCACCCCCTACCTGGAGGCAGAAATGACAGTAAACCTGGGGCACAGTGGTTTTCTGTCGCCTCCCATGGAAGCAGGCTTAGGACCTGGACTAGGGCGAGGAGAGTGAGGCACACACCTCAGGACAAAATTTAAGGGGGTGCCAGAAACTCAATAATCAAGGTAGGATGAAAACAGGCATGATGTGTACCCCGAAAGAGGCAGAGGCTGCTGAGGGCTCTGGCTGCTGGAGGAAGGAAGGTTTGAAGAGGCAGGCGGGCTTTGGAGGGGAGGAGGGCAGGTGGGCTGAGGGGTGGGCCCTGGGTAGAGATTGGGGGGTGGGACTAGCTTAAGTGCAGAATGCAGCTGGCAGGGACCCACGCGGCAGGCAAAGCTGCAAGGGCAACCACTGAAGGCTTCTGTGCCGAGGAGGTGCCAAGCACTCGATCATTTGTTCATTCATTCATGCTGCCGTGCCAGACACCATTCCGGCTGCTGGGCTGGATATACAGCACTGAACAGGACAGGATTCCCTACCCTGGAGGGACTGTGAGAGTGGGAGGCAGACCATAAGGATAAGTGAAATGAACAGCAGTTTAGACAAGGAGAAAAGAAAGCAGGCAGCCGGCAGGAATGGCGGGAGCAGAGGGCTACACAGGCAGCCAGAGGGGCACTTGCAGGAGCGGGGCAGGCGCAGCACAGGCATTATCTCAAGTCCTCCTCCCAGTCCTGTGAACGGCGGACCACGGCTGATTATCCCCACATGGCAGATGACAGAGCTGAGGTCTGGCATCTTAGGGTATGAGCAAACCAGGATTTCCCACTCAGCCTTGCCTGACTTTATAAAGTCTGGGATCTTAAATTGGATACCTCCCACCTTCCCTCAGTCGTGGTCCATAGAGAGAAACACGCCGAATATCAGATTTACTATGGCTGGGGGGTGGTTAGGTGGGGGTGGGTACCAAGGGCCTGCATAGTTAGACCCCTGGGCCTCGCTCCCACTACCGTGAGACTGTTCCCTGTTCCCTATCGCAAAGCCATGAGGACTAGCATTCTGGGGGCTGCCCTGTGTGCCCAGCTCTGCCACCCTCCTGGGGCTGCCAGATTCTCCGGGGATAAAGTACTACCTTAGCTGGTGGCCCCAAGAGCCCCTGGGAGCAAAACCGACTTGGTTCTTGATCCTATGGACTTGTGACATGCACACCAGGAATGTCGTGAGAGGAGCTGTAATAAGCTATCCAAAGTGATCGTCCCTTGAACCAGAGTCACTGCAGCCAAATTAGTCTGGATGAAAGGCACAGGGTGCAAGCACTTCTCAATCTGGGGGAGGAGGTAGGGAAAAATGATTACCCAATAGGTTTCAGGCTTTAATTGATTTGTATTTTTCCAGGCTGCTAAGGAAGATTAAATCGTGGTATGAAAAATGCCTAGGGCTTAAAATAAATGAGGAGAAAGGCAAGTCATTTCAAAAATGTCCAGGAAGCAAACTGAGCCTCTCTAGTGCAAACTGCAGGCTTGGCGGTTGTGTTCTTTGTTCGGGGGGTAGGCAGCTTCCTTTCCTCCCCCAGCCATCTTTGCAGTTGGGTTTGACAAGGCTACCAAGGTGTGCGTGCTTTGTGGAGGCAGTTCTGAGGGGGAGAGACAGAACTGCAGCCTTTTAGCCTTGAAGGGTGTATCTCCAGGCTGGTGGCTGCTGGAAAAGCCTTTGGCTAGGAGTCAGGCTGCCTAGTTCCAGCCTGGCTCTACCTTTGATTTAATGGGTGAACTTAGCCAATAATTTCCCCCTTTCTGGGCCTCAGTTTCTCCATCTGTAAAATGAGGGAATTTGGTTTTGAGGCTCTTCAAGGGCTCTTCTGGTTTTAATGCTGCATGATCAACAACTTATGGGGAAAGAGGCCCAGAAGGGGGAAATGGCTCAGTGAACAACTTTTCATCATTCTGATCCTTCAGTTTCTCATCTGTAAAATGGGAATGAAGGTACCTATTTCCCAGGGTTGGTGCAAAGATTAAATGAGATGATATTACTAATACTAGCCCTAAGCACTGTGTACTTACTACACGCCAGTTACTTTCTAATACTTCAGACATACTAGCTCATGGAGTCCTGCCATAATCCCCACTTCCCAGGGGAGGCTGGCACAGCTTGGTGAGAGCGGAGCCAAGATGTGAGTCTTGGGCAATCTGTATTGACGATGCCATACTCCCTCTTCCTAATGTACACAAACACCAAAGTTTCGTTGGGAGCACAGCTCAAAAAAGGTAGTTTCTACTAAAAATAGCAACGGACAGGAGGGAGAGCTCCGAATCCAGTTCTGCGTCCGATACCAGGCTGCCCACTGGGGATTAACACGACTCGCATACCTCCTTCCCCCCACCGCATCCCACCGCATCTTTCTCCCGGGACAGCAGCAGCAGCGGCGGTCCCCTCCATTCTCCAACCCCCTCACCCCACCCAGTCTCCAGACCCAGGGCTTGTCCCAGAGCGGCCTTCACTCACAGAGCGTCCTGAAGCTGAGGTGCCTCCGTGGGTGCCTGGGGCCCCGGAGGGGCGGGGAGGCCCTTCCCAGGGCTTGGGAGGCGGGGTGGGTGGGGTGAGAAGGGGCGGGGCCGCGGGCCCGATTGTTACCGCCGGTGCCATAGCAATCCGGTCAGGAGGCAGCCCCGCCCCACCCCCGGAGCCAGTGGCGCGGTCTTGGGGGGGCTCCGAAGCTCAGAGTTGGGCTGAGGACTTCGCGCCCGTCCCTCCCTTTTCAACCACCCTCCCC